GAAGCGGAGAAGGTCCTGGGGCCTGGCGAGGGCCCCCCGGGTGCAAAGAAATTGAAAAAACACGTCGCCGTCACTTCTGCGTGGCGAAGACATGTCGGCATGCGGGCCAGAACTCAAGCCTCAAACGGCCGTTTTGGACAGTGCCGGCATCCTCAGAACGCCCTCGTCGATGCGCAGCTGCTGACGAGCATCCCGAGGCGAGAAAATCCCCGACAGACAATGCAGACGACTGAAACGACGACAACATGCGGCCAGAATCGATCCTCGGCCCTCGGCGACGACAGCGAAGCAGAGGCCATCCAATAGATCGGCGATGAGCCCCAGGTGGCGAATCTGGACATTCCTGCGCGTCGTGGGCCTTCAGGCCCCCATTGGCGATCACTGAGCGATGGGGGGTCGGCGCGTTCCCACCTGGCCCGTTTCCCCTTGGCGCGTCGGCGCCCGTGGCCCGCTTCCTCCCCCTCCCCCATCCTCCTCTCTCCCCCTGCCTCCGCCACTGGGCTTCGCGTGGATGTCAAAAAAGCGTTCCCACCTGGGCCTATTCCGCCCTCAAGCTGCCCATGAACATCGTGCCGCGAAGTCAGAGAGGGACCCGACCGCAACAGAACTGGTGCGGCATCGGGATCGCGGATCGGACAGAGCCCACTCCGAACCTGCATGCAGGTTCGGAGTGGGCTCTGCTTCGCTGTCACCTCGACGTCCTGCCCTCGCGCCTCTTCCTTCTCCTTCTTCTCGTGCCCCTGTCCAGCCTCCGCCCGCCCACTTCGGCACCTCCTGCTGCCCTCGCGCCAGCCCCTTCGGCACCTCCCCCCGCCCTCGCGCCAGCCCCCTGCGGCACATCCTTCGGCACCCCTCCTGCCCTCGCGCCAGCTCCTTCGGTACCTCCTCCTGCCCCTGCCATGCTCCTTGCCATCCTGCTCCATGTCCTTTCCTGCTCGCCTCGCCCTCCCATCCACCTCCTATTCCCCTTGCTCATGCTCTTCTACCCGTACCCCGCCCCGCTCCTGCGCTCCCTCCTCTTCCTGCCCCTGCACCTCCTCCTGTTGCCCCATGTTCGTCCTTCGGGGCTGCTGACAACGAGCCAGCCGAACGGACGCAACCGAACCGGGCCGCCGCAGAACCAGCCCGAATCGACCAGAGGCCCGAGAAGGACCCTTTTTGTGAAACAGCGCAAGCCACCAGATGAGGCCCTCCGCCAGGACCCCGCAGGACTTCCTAGAACAACAGGTCGGTGGTGGGAAAGGGTTCCACTTGTGCCAGTTGCGTCAGGTACGCATGCCAGTTCTGCAAGTGCTCTGGATTGTGCGAGCTGCGCCTTGTGCCAGTTGCACCAGTTGTGCGGATTTGTCCACTTGTGCCAGGTATGCCAGTTGAGCCATTTTGCCAGCTGTGCCTCTTGTGACAGTTGTGCCAACTGTACCAATTGTGCCTGTCGCGCGTGGTGTGCAAGTTTTGCGCGAATTATGACTGTTGCGCCAGTTGTGCCGGTTGCGGCTGCAATTTGTGGGTGCCAACTGTGCCAGTTGTTCCGGTAGTGTCAGCCGTCCTGGCAGGGTCCCCATCTGGATGGAGACACTTCTGGTGCGATCCCGAAGGGAGATGGATGCACTTCTGGTACGAACGCTAAGGGAATGAATCCACCTCTGGTACGATCCGTATAGGAACGCGTCCACCTCTGGCACATATGTGGTATGATCTACATGTTGACGGATAGACTTCTGGTCGGATGCCCAAGCGGATGGCCACACCCCGATGCACCTCTGGCACGACGCCTATCAGGATGGACAGGTCCCTGGCACGGTCCCTACAAGGATAGATGCACCACTGTTCGGGGCCCTGAAGGAATGGATACACCTCTGGTACGACCCTCATGGGGATGGATATACATATGGTGCGATCTGATAAGGATACATATATATATATATATATATCGATAGAACTCGGGTGCGGCCTCTTTATGGATGGGTACACCCCTGATACGATCTCTATCGGGATGGATGCACCTCTGGCAGGATCCTCTGGTGTGCGCAAGACTCCCCAAGTCTGGGCGATGACACCCTGGTCTGCGCGTGGTTCGTCTGGTCTGCAGAAAGGTGCCAGTTGCGCCAGCCGCGCACATTGGGGCTCCTTGAAGAGGCAGAACGTCCACCCCGACACGCTGAGCCAGGTAGTACATGCGCCCAAAGGAGGAATCGAGCAGGGCAAGGCTTCTTAGTAGACTCCCAAGGCGGGCTTGTAAACGCCAATTGTTCGTTCTCGGTGTTGTTTTTCCTCCCTCGACCTTGGTAGGTCGGCCTCGTAGGTGTGATATGGAAGATAATCGCTGGATATCTTTGACTCGCGCGGCGAGGGGCGTAGCTCTAAGGCCAAGGGCCCTTGTTCGAAATAAAAATGGCAGCGGCGAGCAAGGAATGAAACCACAGGCCCCTCGAGGCTTCTGGGGGGAACCCTCTCGGGCCTCTTACATTCCTGGGGAGTGAGCTTGATTCACACTCCTCCTAGTCGCCGTCGGCGCAGACCCTCTGTCGGGCGCCTGAGCGGGGACTATAACAAGTCACTCGCAAAAGCTTCAATACAAACGGAACAGATTATCTTGATAATCTATCGCAAGCAAACGGCTCGCACGGCATGCTAGCAGGCTGCCCTCTGGGGCGATTTGACGGGTGCTGCTTCACGCACCTGCTGAAATATAAATTCTCGGCGCAACGGGCACTCGGCTAGGATCTTATTACTTAGTAATAAGATGAAACCCTTGGTAGCAGAGCAATCTGGCTGGTGATCGTCATCACCATAAAACAGAGCACACGCAGGGGCTGATCAGGCCAGGCGCTATGAAACATACAGGCTGCGACGGAAAGCAGCGTCCGGGTGGTGGCGAACACACACTGAATGCGGACTAACGTGAGCGGCTGGCAAGCAGCGTCTGGGCGGCGGCGAAAGCAAACGAAATGCGGATAACTGTAAGCGGCTGCTGGCAGCAGCGCCCAGAAAGCGGCAAAGAAAACTGAACGGGGATAAACGTGAGCGGCTGCTGGCAGCAGTGTCCAAATAGCGGCAAAGCAAACTGAATGCGGGAAACTCATTCACGTGGACTTCTTAGTCCCCTTCTCCGGCGTCGTTCGGCTCGGCGCGTCGGATCCCATCGTCTGAGCCCATCGATTCTGGAGCTCATGCTTCAGCGAGTGGTGCATGCGCGAGAAATCGGGCTGATGCGCTCTGTGGTTCCGGCGAAGCCACGACGAGTGGCGCCTGCATGTCCTGCAGGTCGCGTAAACGCTGTGCGGGTTATATCCTACGCGAATGTTGTGCCCTGCCACGGCACACTCGTTGATCTCCATCGGCGAAACCGTCGGCGTGGAGTTATTCCAGGACACGATGCTTGCCGATGATGAGCTGGATATCGTCATGGGCGTGCTCGGTGACGATGGTGACGATGATGGGGCGAAGCTGTCCTGCGGCGATGCCGGCGCGGGAGCAGTTGAAGGCCTCGGAGCTGGACCTGCGTTCTCTGTCGATGAGCTGCTCTGGGCCGCGGCAGCAGCAACGATCTCCTGGGTGTCGGGCATGAAGATGTCTCCGTCGGCGTCCTCTTCCTTTGGAATCGCGGGCTGCACGTGGTTCCGCCTCCCGAGACGTCTCCCGTCCCAGCCTGGATGGCGATCGCCCTCGGCCTTGCCCTCCTGCGGCGATGGCTCCAGGGTGTTCTGAGCCACTGTGTGCCACATAACGGCGAAGATGCTGAATCCCACCATCATTCCCACGAGCATCGAGAAGCACGTCAGGCAGCACGCGTACCAGTAGTAGTTCATGTCGAGTGGCTGTGGGGGCGAAGGAGCCGGCTGACCCTTGACCTTGCCGATGCACGTGGCAAGCACGGAGGCGATCATGGCGGCGTTGGGCTGCCTGGTGCCGAAGTTGTGCTTCTTGGCGCCGAAGAAAGAGAGCAGCAAGCTGGTCTCCATTACCTTGGTGAGCGAGTCGGCAACCATGCTCCAGGTAGGGACCCAGGTCAAGCGCAGCTCGCTGTTGGGATGCACGGACTCCTTGATCATGGAGGCGACGATGCGGAAACGCTTGTCGGAAGACTGGCCCACGTCGGACTGGGTGTGGGTAGCGGGACCCTTGCTGTCGCTGTAAACCTCCCCAGGGCGCTTCAAGCTGAGATCGTCGATCTCTTTGCGCGGCGTCTTGGGGTTGTAGGCTTCGGTGAGCAGCTGGCGAAACCATGTGTTGATTTCGGCCCCCTCGAGGGCGTAACCCTCCGCGGCCAGCGCGGACTTCACGGACCTCTTGACGGTGCCCGAATGCCAGGCAACTGGTAAGCATAGATCGTATCGGCCTCCGACTACATCGCGAGGTCGGTGGGTAAGGCCCATGGCCATGCCCCACTGGCTCTTAACACCGTCGATGTTGGCGAACGCGGCGTCGCTGAAGCAAACGGTGGTGCAGGTGTTCAGGTTGATTAGATTGCGCTTCAGCACGATGGCAAAGTCGGGGGAGCCGTGAACGTAGTTGACCGTCCTGTTGAGCGTCTTGGCGTCGGCAACGGTAGCGACGTTCGTGCGCCTGGCAGCCATGCTGACCGGGCAGGCGACGTCGACTCGCGTCTGAACAGCGAGCCAAAGTAGTTGACCCAGGGTGTGTCGATAGCTGGATACCTCCTCCATGGACAGCTTGTCGTCTGGGGCGCGGCCCTTCGCGAAGGAAGTCTCGACAGGGTCGACCTGCTTGGCAGCCGTGGCCTGCGTGACGCGAAACTCTTCGTCAGACTTTGAGATCGTACGTCCGCAATATTTGATAATGCCTTCAACCTTTTTGAGACGCAGCTTCCTCCCAAGACTACCAATGATGCGCTTCCACTCTGTTGAGTCCTTGAGCTGAGCAATCGAGAAGTCGTCCACATGGGAATGTACGACGGCGGCCAGGCCCTTGGAGTCGTAGAAATAGTAGAGACCCTTCTCGAGCTTGCTCTCGATTAAACCGTGGTCCTTGAACACCTTCTGGGCGTAGAGATACCACTGCCGTCCGGCGTCACGGGTGCCGTAGATAGCACCGGTCGCCATAACGATTTCACCAGGCGAAGTGCCCGGTGGGGGGTTCTTCGCAGGCATG